ACAAGATATATTAATTGCTAATGAACTAAATTATGATCAAAATGAAATTGATCAAGTTTTAGAAAATTATGATAAATTAAATAGTAATCAAAAATTAATATTTGATACTATTATAAAAGCAATTAAAAATGAAATTGCTCAAAAATTATTTTTTGTTGATGGACCTGGAGGAACTGGAAAAACATTTTTATATAATATAATTTTGGCATATGTAAGATCAATAGAAAATGGCTTAAATGGAATTGCAATTGCTATAGCATCATCAGAAATTGCTGCTTTACTAATGAGTGGTGGAAGAACTGCTCATTCAAGATTTAGAATTCCATTAAATGTAACTGATACTACAGTTTTAAATATTAAAAAGCAATCTGAATTGGCAGAATTAATTAAAATTGCTAAAGTCATTATATGGGATGAAGCACTAATGATGAATAGATTTGCATTTGAGGCAGTAAATGAATCTTTTAAAGATATAATGAAAAATGATGAGCCTTTTGGAGGAAAAGTTGTAGTTCTTGGTGGTGATTTTAGACAAATTTTATCTGTAGTAATTCGAGGTACTCGAGGTCAAGTTGTTGATGCATGTTTAAAATCTTCAGCTCTTTGGAAGAAATTTGATATTTTAAAATTAAAAATTAATATGAGAATTCAACAAAATAATGATGAACAAAAAAAATTTGCTAAATTTATATTAGATGTTGGTGAAGGAGAAATACCAGTACATTCTGATATTGGTGAAGATTTTATACAATTACCTGATGATATAGTTCTAAATAGTGAAAAACTTGATGATTTAATATCAGAGATCTTTACTGATATTATTACAAACTATCAAAATAAGAACTTTATTAAAGATAGAGCAATTCTTACAACTAAAAATGTTGATGTTGAATATATTAATCAGCAAATACTTGAACAAATTCCTGGTGAAGAATTTGAATATTATTCTGCTGATTCAGTTCAAGATGAAGATTCAGTTGATTCAAGTCTTTATCCTATTGAATTTCTAAATACTTTAATACCAAATGGAATTCCATCTTATCATCTGGTACTAAAAAAAGATGTACCTATTATTCTTTTACGTAATCTTAACCCTTCAGAAGGATTATGTAATGGTACACGCTTAATCGTAAAAGAATGTCATAAATTTCTTATAGATGCTGAAATCTTAACAAGAGTTAATCAAGGAAAAAGGATTTTTTTACCTCGAATGAAATTGACACCATCAGATACTGATCTTCCATTTAAATTAGTAAGAAGACAATTTCCAATTAAATTATCTTTTGCAATGACAGTTAACAAGGCTCAAGGTCAAACAATTCCTACTATGGGATTATATTTACCTAAACCAGTTTTTACTCATGGACAATTATATGTAGCTTTGTCAAGAGTTCAGACAAAAGAAAATATTAAAGTCTTGGTTAAAAATGGCCATGTTGAAGGAAAAGAAGGTATATATACTAAAAATGTTGTATATAAAGAAGTTTTTTCTAAATAATTTTGTATATATATATTTTTTGTTTATTAAAATTTATATACAATTTTTTAAAAGTATTATTATTTAATTAATTATATATAAAATAAAAGTATTATATTATATTAAATAGTTTTAATAAAAACTATAGATATAGATTGATCTAAGAATAAAAAAAATATTAAACCTTATACTTGGGGTAATATCTTAACCTAAAAGCTAATAAAATTTAAACCTAAGAATTAGAAAAAAATTAGAACCTCACACCCGGGGCAACGCCCGGGCCTAAGAGCTAGTCCAACATAATTTTGTATAATGTAATCGCCATTTTCAGCAAAAATTAAATTGGTTTTTTCATTCATGGTAACTTTAAAGATATGTTCAGCGTATTTCAGCAAAAATTCGAAATGATTTTTTTCATTCATGGTAACTTTTAGATTAAGCAATATCTTATTGTTTATTTTGTTATAACAAAATAAAAATTTATATCTTGTATAAAGTAGTACGAAAATGTTATCGGGACTTATTGAGGAAAAGAAAATCGATCATTGTTTTTGAGTTCTCCAAGATAATCTATTGAAAAATAATAAATTACTCAGATAACTTATTTATGCATTCTAAAGCACCTTTCGAGAACACAACGTTTTACTAATTAAAAACAACGATAAAAGTATTTTAATCTTTAAACACAAAAAAGTTCACCGTACGTAATAATCTCGAAATTGACAACTTAGAAGAAAAATATGCTATTTCTATTACTACAGTATTATACTCGTGAAGACATTGTCTGATTGACTGATCTAAATCAATTATTCAAGATACAGTATATTTTTTAATTTAAAAACACTTAATCAACATGATTCTCTTGAAGGTTGCATCATTTCATTGATTTGTAGATGAGGAGACAGGAAATTATTAATCACCCAGGTGACTTTTTTTTTTCGATTATTTCTGTGCCATTTTTCGATAAATTATATACTCTTTTGCAGTTGATTTTTTCTTTTCAGATGGATCAATGTTTTTTTTTCTGCACATGAGACTTTCTCATATCCATTGATTTGATTTTTAGGGCCTTTTTCGATAAACTGTTATACAAACTTTTGACGTGAAAAAATAACAAATGAAACATTCAATAAAAAAGTTTTTAACTTCTATATAGGATAAAATAAACACTAAAAAAAGTTACGCTAAGCCGTAAAAAGAAAGCACTATTACTAGTTGTTGAAGGTTCGGTATTTTCGGGTCATTGTTTGATCGGTTGTATAATAGGTAAGAGTAAATTCGGAAGCAATTTTTCAGGAAAATGGTCTTATTACTTTTAGCTAGTAATTTAACATGTAGATATTGCAATATTCTATACATTTAATTATGGATTCAAGTAAGTTTAAAAGGCCGTTTTTGTAAGAACTCACTTTGTAATAACGATAAATTTTAACGACAAATAATTCTCAATCATGATTGGCTAATTTGGGTCAAACCAAATTGGTCGATATGTTATTCGTTGACTATGAAGAGAAAAATTTTGTTGGACAGATAAACGCTAACTCTCATTATACCTTTTTTGAAATATTTAATGCTAGCGAGAAGTTTGCTATTATTCTAATTTACCAATAATATGTTGAAAACCTTTAAACAAACATTATACACTTATCTATTTGTTGCTACGTAATTGTTAAAAAATTAAAATACGGTTGAACATTGCTTATTTCCAACTTGGCTAATGTAATTTTCAACTTGATGCTTAGGAAGGATTCGCTAAAGTGAATAGATAGATTCTACATTTGGTGGGTTTATTTAGGTCTTAATTTGATGGTCTCATGGCTTGTAATTAACGAAGTAATAGTTGTAATATTAAAATACATGCTGTACCAAATTTTTGTACCCTTTTTTTTTTTTTGCTGAAAGAAAAAAAAAAATATTATTGATAAACTAATAACAATATTAATACCTAATTTTATTTTATTGAATGATTATGATAATATAATGCAAATAAGTAATTTTTGTTTGTAGTTTTAATTAGGCCATACAAACTTAATGATTCGATTTTCATAACCCGGCCGGGTCAAACCTTTCAAATTTTTTAAAAAAATTTTAAGTATATTTACTATCCGGGTGAGTTTTTTAAAAAAATCTATAAAAAATTTTAAATGTAAAATTTTTTGAAAATAAAATTAAAAGCCGGGTTGCCGGGTCACTTTTGAAAATTTTATGTTATGAAAACCGAATTATTAAGTTGTATGGCCTTATTTTCATTCCATGATCATGGTACACATTTTCTAGGTGCTTGTTAATTAGGGTTACTAAAAGTATGTTCAAAAAAAAAAAACTAAATTATGTGTATTTAATCTAGTTTAACTTTTTATATTTAATTATTTCATCAATATCATTACCATATTATCATCATTATTTTTTTTCGTATTTTCAGTTATAAAAGTAATTCCTGGTTCAATCATAGCATCACCTAAATTTTGACCAGTATTGGTTGAATGTATTTGAAGTCTACTCATAATATTTTCTCTATTTAAAGAAGTAGATAATTCAGTAATTAGACTATTAAACCTGGTGTTACCTATATCAAGTAAAGCATTGTAATAACATGACCTTTCTACTCATTTCTTCAAATATGTTTATAGATTCTTTCTAAATCGTGCTCCGAAAGCCATTTCACCAATTATATCCAAAATACAAATTATACCAATTGGCAAAGGTTTATCAATGATATTAAATTGATTAGATGTCGAGTTTAATGATGTTTTGAAAGTGAATCGACTTTCTTAATTAGTGTTCAAATGACATTACGTATTTTATAAAGAAAGCTGGTGATAAGATATATATTTTATTTTCTCTAACACTATAGCACACGATAGAAGTTTAGGGCTTTAATGCCGTAAAGAAAAATCCTCGCTTTCTACTATATATTTTATTTTTAATCTTATAATCTATTAAAAAAAAGAAAACCAAATATGTACAAACTCTTGATAATTAAATTAAGACAGGTTGAACCGAAAACTGAAAATTCCTGAAATTCATTAGAATTAAGCTTAAAAGGCTCCTCTTGGCTCCAACCAATTAGGACTATAAATTAGGTTTCCCATAATTATCTTTTAAAATAAAGTATTATATGAGCTTGTAATCTATGAATTATGATAATTACCGTAAACTGCCGTATACAAGACCCGGATCTGTTTCATTTTACCAATTTTAAAACCTATTATTAGACCCGCGGGTCCCTTGTATGGAGGGTTTTTATGCGGGTTAGTACGTATTGGCATGCATATTGCATATCCAACTTTTAATTTCGACCTATCACTACTTTTTTTTTTTTTTTTAGAGAATAATGTCTTTTTAATCAGCTTGGCTTGCTACCATTATTTAGTAGTTTTTTATTCCCTTGACGGTTGTAAGAACAAAATGGCTAGTCATTATTAATAAAAGTAAGCATATAATAGATAATTATAAAATTATATAGCGAATTATGTGATGTATTGATTAATAGTTTACTGACAATTTCTAGACTGCCAAAAAAATGGTTGAAAACTTTATTGGTAAAAAGGCTTTGGATACAAGGAATCAAACGCCATTGTGTAATTAAGGTGAGTATTAAAATAGCATAATTTCTAGAGATTGAACCCGGGTAAAAATTAATATTATGAACTATCCAAGAGATATAATTATTTATCAGGATAATCTGAGCGAACTAATATTACTTAGGTAAAGATTTGTTTATTGGGTCCAATCTCTAATAATTTCTAATAGTTAGTGTTGAAGTCTCTTATGTTCCTGCATTATCAATAGGATTTCATGGTCCAAGGCAGTGATTTTACTAAAGGCAATTTGAAACTAATGGAAAGTCTATTTATGGAGATCGATTTCTCAATAAAAGCTTCAAACTTCGCTACACAGGTCTTGATATTGTAAGCATAGCCAATGCTGATCCTGACATGAATAACTCTTAAGTATGTAACTTTACAATTATTTTTAATTTTACTGGGTGGGTAAAAAAATTCTAAACAGGACTTTTATATTAATTACTAAATGATACGCTTATAATTATTATTTTAATATTCATTGTAATAGGAGCCCTTAAACCAGTTCTTTTTGTTAATATTAAACATGTAACACATCTAATAATGAAAAGTGATTAACAAAAAGATCTTGTCTAGGAACTTTTAACCTATCTGGTATGTTAATATACAGTATACTACCCGTTTGTTGACCAATTTATTAACTTTTATGTAATATTACTAGTTTATTTTTAAATAAATCAACATTTATGACTAAATTATATAAAGCTTAACATCAACTAAATACGCACAAGTATCAGTTAATATGGGTATATTATTTAACTATATATGAATTTCTAATGTTCAGACATTAAAGCAAAAGCTTTTAATAATGGCAAAGAAATTAAGATTACAAGTTCAATCACAAACTACCAGTATTACAAGTTAAAAAAAAAAAAATGAATCATAAATTATTAAATTAAAAAAAAAACTACAGAACTAATATTATGAAGAATCTCTTATGGACTTGGTGAATTATTAGAGATTAATTGAATATCAACAAAGGCATATGTTTTACATAGAAATTCTTCAAAGCATGATCATGAGATCAAACATTTTTTACAACCTAATTAACTTATTAATATAGAAAGCATGTGCACAGTTATTTTATTGTTTGTTATATATATATATAATTTTTTTATTATGTTTGATATTTTTGTTTTATTCCTGAAGCAAGTTTTTCCCTGGATAAAGCAAGTTTTTTCAACAAAAACGAAAGTAAGAACTAATTTATTTTAAAGTAGTAAAATTAAAATATTATATACAAATTATTAATATATACTGTATATTTAAGTAAGATAGAACATTACAAAAAAAATTTGAATCAAGCAAAGGTTACTAAAAAAAGAAAAAGAAGCTAGAATGTGTGAGAGAAGTTGGCAGTTGTTACATATCTTAAAAAAAATTCCATGGCTAGCAAGCAAAATACTGCTCAACAATTTAATATAATACCAAAGCAGTTGCATAAATAGATCAAAAAAAAAAATTAAAAAGTGCCCTACCTTTTATTAAACAGTTAAATATTGGTGCTCATCCCAAATATCTGCTTTTAGAAGTTGATCTTTTAAATTGGGTTAAATCTTTACATTCAAAGCAAAAGATTGTATTCCAAAATATGGTTAAAACTAAAGCACAACAACTTGCAAGGCTATTCTGTTTTACTTCACCTTTCCCTATGATTAATGAATGCAAATGGAGTAATAGATGGTTAGGGGTTTTATATGTCGTAATGATTTAAGCAACTGACACTGTACTATAGTAGCACAAAGATTGCCAGAGGATTTAGAACCTAAAAGAGATGAATTTTTGAGTTATGTATTATATTATAGAATACGTTATAATTATCATCTTTCTCTTATCGGAAATATGGATAAGACACCATTAGCATTTGATATGCCCAGTAACTATACAATTAAAGAAACTGGTGCTTATACAGTTGGAATTTGTACAACTGGATATGAGAAATCTAATTTTACAGTTGTTTTAAGTTGTTTAGCTGATGGCACTAAATTGCCTTCTATAATAATTTTTAAATTAGTCAAAGTACCACGGCAAATATTTCTACCAGGTATCATTGTACGAGCTAATCCTAAGGGATACATGAATTCTGAAGAAATGATTTTTTGGATTGAAAAGATCTGAAAATATCGAGCTCCTTTATCTGTTGATCCTCGTTTGTTACTTGTTTTGGATTCATTTTGTGGTCATCTTACAGATATGGTTAAAAAATAGATTTGAAAAATACCAATATTGCAGTAATTCAGGTGGACTTACCAAAAAACTGCAACCCTTAGATGTATACATTAATAAATTCTTTAAGGATGAGGTAAACTAACATTAATTTTTTAAAATTATTAGTGCATTTATTTAAATATATAAGTAAAAATAGCATTATTTAATAATTACATAATAATTGTCATGGCTGATATTAAAGTTTAGCTAAAATTAAAACTAATAAATCTAATTGGTTAATAATATTAATCAATCAGTAGTTTATTTGTTTTAATTTGAGCTAAATTTTAATATTAGCTGTAAAATTTTTTTTTTTAAATTTAAGTATCGTAAGTGCTATCTTAATTGGATGGGTGAAGAAATTAAAAAATTAACACCCACAGATCGTATTCAACGACCCGCTTATAATTTGGTGGCAAGATGGATTAAAATAGTATGGGACCTCGTTGACTCTGCTCTTATAAAACGGTCGTTCAAATGCTGTGGCATATCTACAGCTCAGGATAGGTCTGAAGAGAATATAATGTTTGACTATGATTGGGTCGCTAATCCAGAATGTCAAAATGGTGTTTACGTACATATCAATGTGGATAATGCAAACGAGAATGAAGATGTTGTTGATTTGACTCAAGATAATAACGATGATAGCAGTTTGGATGAAATTGATGAAATTAGAAGCAAATACAATAGTGAAGATAGGAATAACGATAGTGGAGACAAGAATAATAATGAAGATTATAATAGTTTAGAAATGGATGAGAATAATAATAGCTTGAACGAAGGTAAAGTATAATTTTTTTTTTTTTTTTTTTTTTTTTTTTTTTTTAATGCTGAAAGATTAAAGAAATTTTTTTTAAAAAATTTTTGTTAATTAAGAAAATTATGAGGAAGATTCATATTATGATGATCAAATAACTGAATATGTTTATATGTGGGATTGAAAAAAAACCACTTTCTTGTTCACCCAAATCATAGAAAATATAGTAATGAAAAATAGAACATTAATAAGTAGTGAAATGCAGTTAAAAAATAATGACATATTTGATTTATCACACGAACAAATTTAAAGAATAAGTTGCAGCTTTCATTGGTATTAAATAGTAATAGAACAATTGTAATGAAGAAAAAACCACAAATAGAAATAGATGGTATCCGCATATAGTTAGTTATCAAACAATTTATAAAGTTTGTAATCACAAGCAGCTCTTGCAATAAAATATATGTTATACTTCTTGGTATTTCTGGCTGTATGCAATTTGTTCATACTGTAGCACCTTATATTTAATCGCTGCGATTTATTGCATTTAACCATAAAGTAACTTACCACTTGATAGAATTGTATATTTTACTTGTGAATTTAAATAGATCGTTAGAAATAGATAAAGAAATGCATTAATAAATCGTAAAGTAACATAATATATCACATATAACGATAAGTCAACATATCGATATACTATAATGTTGCGCAAACAGCATGTAACAAACCACAAGACACTGTTAAATATTTGTCAGCTATACTTCAAATACTGTATCATACCGAGTCTTTTTAATATTTATTCCTACTTACATATCCGGGTCTTTTAATATTTATTCCTATTTGTATACCCGGGTCTTTTAATATTCTATTCCTATTTGTATACCCGGGTCTTTTACAATTAACTAAAATTTTATCCTATGTTATAGACCCGGGTATAGTACTTAGTGGGTCTGATATCTGGGGGGATCTTGTATACAGCAGTTTACGGTATTTCCAGGTACAGGAACTCCATCCCTGAATGTACCCGGTGTCGCAATAAATTTTTCTTTATGTCGATTTTTATAAATAAAAAATCCAATAATAAATAAAAATACTGCTAAAATGACTACACATATACCAATACCAATTCCAATATATAAATCTGAGGAATTATGATTTACTTGACTAGCTGGGAAATTATTGCTACTTTGTATTGGTTTAGCTGAGTTTGTTGTTGTTGATATATTAAATGTAGTAACCCAGGTGTAATTTTGTATGTCAATAATATAAATATTATTTGTGAATAAATTTAATGCAGAAGATGCGCCTACATATGTAAAAAATTTTAATAAATTTTAATAAATTTTCTTTAAATAAATAAACATATAAAAATTAATTACCGAATGCAAGTATCATATAATTTTTGTATAATGCAGCAGAATGCTGTGCGAGTGGTGGTGCACTTGGTCCAGAAACACTTGGAGTAGACCATACCCAAGAATTTGTATTTAATACTGCAATATCAGAAAACACATTAACAATTTTGCCAGAACTATCTATTGTTGCACCTCCATATATGATAATATTTCCATCCTGAACTAAAAATAACAACAATTACGTATTAAAATCAGATATCAAAATCCAAATATAACTGTTAGTGCAGTATTATTATATGCAACATACGTACTTAAAACAGCAGAATGAAGTGTTCGAGATGTTATAATAGAACCACTAGCAAGCTAAATAAGATTATATATTCGCAAAAAATTAGACATAATTATTATTATCAGAAATAATATTAATTATATACATTACTTTAGTAGACCAGGTGTAAGATTTTGTGTCAAATACTTGAATCTGTATTTTAATATTAATCAAAAGTAAAACTTAAATGAATACTTGAAAAATATTGTTGTGGTTGAAGCTGAAATTCGGGTCACAATTTGAAAATATAAGCCCTGTTAAAAAAAATCCACATCCACTTTTTAATTATCAAATTCTAACCTTAATCTCTAACCTAACCCTAAAAAAAGCGAAAAAAAAAACTCTAAAAAATTTTTAAAATTCATATCAAAATAAGCCCAAATTTCAGCATCAACCAATTTTAGAATCAGTCGCGACAATTATAAAATGCATAATATTAAGACTATTATTCCATACCTGAGCCATATCAGTAAGATTTCCTTGTGAGCTTGATGGCGTACTACGCCCACCAATATAAACAATAATACCATTTGGCAATAATGTAGCAGTATAGTCGACATTAGTAAAGGCAGTATGAGACTGA